GAACCAGTCGTGAAAACTCGTAATTATTTTGCGAAAAAATACCACCTCAGCCAGGAATCGAACCTGGATCTCCTGCTTACCGGGCAGGCATCTTATCCTTTCGACTACCGAGGCATGTGATGATATTTATCGCAAAAACGTGTTTAGAACAACAAGTCAACAATACAAGTGGATGGAAAATCGAATATGTTCTTTTGTTATTGCCATCGTGAAGTGGATGGAAAATCGAATATATTTTTTTATTATTGCCATCGTGAAGTGGATGGAAAATCGAATATGTTCTTTTGTTATTGCCATCGTTATTGAACACTACTGATTTTTGAGGTTATGTGCATCAAATGCCAAACCGTATGACATTTTAGAAGGCCAAATGTCAACGCTTTAAAACTGCAAAAGGGCGGGAAGATATATAAAATTTAAATTGTTATTTCGGTTGTATGAAATCTAAAGCTCAGAACTTTTTTGTACACTTAATAGTAGTATTTTTAATTTAAAAATAATAAAAACCAAATTATATGTATCTTTTTAGCCATTCAAGACTTCTTTTTCTAAGTGGTAGTAATTATTTAATTCTAAAATATTATTATATCACAAAATTGCTTTACTCAACCTACGTTTTTATCACAAAGAATTAAAAAGTAACAGTACAAAATAAATTAAATAAAATTTTATGTAAATAAAAAAATTTTTATGTAAAAACATTTGACGTTGCTCAGACCAAATAAGGAAAATAATAAAAATGCAAAACTAATGAAATTATTTGAATTTTATAAATAAAAGCAAGATTTATTGTTTAATAAAAGCAAGATTTATTGTTTAATATGATAATTACAATTTTATATATATTTATACATTTACTTATTCGTGTTCTTTTTAGAGCCTTAATAACACATGATATCATTCGAATATTCTACACTCATACTGAAAGTACTGTGGCCATACGTACTATTGCCTAATATAGAGAACATTCATATGACATCTTGACGGTATATTTCTCATATATTCTTGAGCTCATCTTCAGAATGTACCGAATATACCCTATCAGCACATGATCTCATATGAATATTCTGTATTTATATTGAATATATTGTAATCATACCAAAGCTACTAAGATTATTCATATAAAATCTGAATATCATTTGTCGTATCCCAAGCAAAATGACATCATTATGACGATGATTTAAGATCATTTTTCGTCACTCGACGTCAGTGTACTAAATAATGACGTAAAAAAATAAATGTAACATTTGTCACGAAATATTACCGTTATAAATATATCGTCATTTAATCGCTTTTAATGAATGAATAATGAAATAACATTATTAATTATTATCTTTCTTAATTAACTGTAATATAAAAATAAGAAAAATATTTCTCATATTTAATACAATTATTGACAAATTCATAACCAAATAAACAAAATATATTCAACAATTTATAAACAATTTTCGTAATAAAAATGATTTTCATTAAACACAATGTAGGTTCACGCATTTATATATGTAATGTTAAATTATCCACAAGAATTGCATATGCAATCAAGATTTTAAAATTAAGACTATTTATATGACAATATAGTGACATTCATTAATCAGACCTATCATATTTTATGTCAAAATTCCGTGTTCACTTATATCATCATTTCAGTTGCAGGTTTCATCCATTATAGAAGTTAAGCAGCATTGAGCAGGATCCCAAATAGATGGGTGACCGTTTTAAAAACATGCAATGATACAAGATAAAAAATGTGTCATTACTTTCTCTCATTTTTTTTTCATTTTTTTCACTTATTTTCCGTAAAAGGTGTCACGTATATTATAAATTTTCACGATCTATATGGCTGTCTGGAATATACTTATGCATGCCCTACATGATATACTATTTTTAAACCATTTTCATCCTATGGCCATATTCTCGGGATATTCTCCAGTACATACTAGGGATTAGGTTAGTGAGTGGTAAAAAAAGCGATTTAAATACATTCAGTACAGTATATCGCAGTATGTATTTCAAATGTTCGGAGAATATCTTGAATATACTTGTATGATATTCCGCGGAACGTTCTCAGAATAGATGAGTGCTATTAGGGCTAATCCTTTCTATAATGGGATGACACTTGCAACTGAAATGATGATATAAATGAACACGGAATTTTGACATAAAATATGATAGATCTGTTTAATGAATGTTACTATATTGTCATATAAATAGTCTCAATTTTAAAATCTCGATTGCATATGTATGCAATATGATTGCATATGATTGCATATGATAACTCTTGTGAATAATTTAATTACATGTATTGATCTATGAATCTATGTTATGTTTAAAGAGAATCATTTTTATTATGAAAATTGTTTATAAATTGTTGAATATATTTTGTTTATGAATTTGTCAATAATTGTATTAAATATGGGAAATATTTTTCTTATTTATATATTATAGTTAATTAAGAAAGATAGTAATTAATGTTATTTCATTATTTATTCATTAAAATTGGCTTAAAAATGACGATTAAATGACAATATATTTATGATAATATTTTTCATGACAAATGTTACGTTTGTTTTACGTTGTTTTTTAGTACACTGACAAAAAATGAAAACTTTAAATCATCGTCATAATAACGTCATCTTGCTACTTGGGATATAGATTTTATACGAATAATCTTAGTACATTCGGTATGATCACAGTACATTCAGTATAAATACAGAATATTCGTACCATATGGTGCTAGGATATATTCGATATATTCTGAAGATGAGCTTAAGAATATATGAGAAATGATAAACCATTAAGATGTCATATGAATGTTTTCTAGTATATTAGGCAATAGTACGTATGATCTCTACGTACTTTCAGTACGAGAATATTCAAATGATATTATATGCTATTAAGGCTGATATTGCTAGATTAGAAGGTTATATGAAGAAGCAACGTTGAGTTCTTAGAATTAGGCTTAGACACTTATTATGATCAGGAGAGTATCACAAAAATTTGTTCATATGTGTATATGTGTATCATGTGTGTACAGAAATGTATGTATGAGTATATGTATGTATACATAAATGTATCTATGTATGTGTAGATGTGCATATGTGTTTTCGTCGGAATTCGCTCGTCAATCCAGCATATCCTTAATTCCAAATGTTAAAATGGAGGTTGAGACGCTAGTATACGAGAGTTTCGACGATTTCACAAGAAAGGCTATAATCGCTTTCAGCCTTCTATCTGCTTAAATTTAAATAATTGTGTAATAATTTTATTAATTAAAATTATTAATAATTAAACATCAGTTACAAAGGCAATAGATTTACGAATGAAAATAAAAAATATAAAATACCTTAAGAGATTTTGAAAACATTTTGTAATTACTATTATAAACTTTAATCTAAATAATTTACCACGCAACAATTGGCATATATTAATGCCTCCTTTACTGCATTTTCTATAATCTTCTTAGTACAGCCTCCATACCTTGGCGTTCCTGAATGCATATATTAGTTTTTTGAATTTCCTAAAATCTCTCTCTCTCTCTCTCTCTCTCTCTCTTTCCCATTCTTTTATATACTACAAACATTAGAAAAATGAGATAAAATGAGAAAACAAGTGAAATATGTTATTATTCACTACATCATTATCCATCATATTTCACAATTAGTTAGCCATCAGATAAATTTAATTTTAAATAATATAACAACCAATTATATTATACAACAAACGAATGCGCCAGGAATAAATGTAAGTTTATTCCTGGGAGTTTACCAGGGAGTGCTCCTACATGCACCATTCCTATAACTGAACAACATTGCGGAAATAATTGTCGAAATCTCAGCATCATGAATCACTGTTCACTAGAATTAATTATTAATACTAATAGCTAAATCATACACTTTCAACTTTTAATGCCATTGATATGATAATTATATTACAATAACTGACTCTGAATCAACTGTTGACGTACTGGTTAGGTTATCGATATCTATCTTGTTTATCTTATTAGGCCTGTTCTTTTTAGGTTGTGTTCCGAAATTAACTGGCAATACTGACAGCACTGCTTTACTGCATTCCGAAATAGAATTTTTTTTGCTGTCAGTTACTGAAAGTTTCTATCCATTCTGCGTAAATTAACCCTAGGGGATTTGCTGACTTCCGATTGTTTTTACTTTACCTCAAGAGATGAGGCACCTACAGTAAAAAGCAGTAAGTCGGTTTCGGACCTTCGCAAGGTATGTGTTTTTGATTTTGTATTAAAAATAAGTGCCAAGTGCTTGTTAAGAATTATGGATGATGCACATCGATTAATACCATACGAAATTATAGATGATATTAATAATAAATAAAAGCACACGGTGCTTCTATCTTCAAAATTTCTAGGTCAGAAATATATGAATTACATCAGCTAGGATAAAGAATTGTTTTAAGAATTCTTCAAGAACTTCTAATTAATATTAATATATAAATAATGTATTCTCAAAGAATAATCAAATTCTTACTCTACTCTTGTTACATAATAAGCTTTTTGGAATTCTTTACGATTTTTTTTGTTATTTTGTGCTTATTGGATATAAACCTAACCTCAAATGTGTGTACTTTATATATATTTATATATATTAATATATATATATTAATATTATATATATATTATATATTAATCATATATATATTAATACTTATATTAATACTTATATATTAATACTTATATATATATATATTAATCATAAACTTAAATATTGATAAATTTAATATTTCGACAGAATCAGAAGTCGCACGTAAAATTTTGAAAAATGCAAAAATTGCCGGCATATCTTCCAATATGTCCATTGATACATCAAAAGAAAACAAAAGTTCCGAAACGATTTTGGAAGAAATGCGAGAGTCTTGGCGGTATGAAGTATATTTTTTAATTATTATATGTATTTTTTGTAATATTCCATTTCAAAATTCTGCTTTTTAAGTTCATGGGCT